GAGCTGTTGATTCAGCTAATTCTTTCCCCATTGCTGTATACAAGTAGTTTAAATTATTTCTTCCAATTTGCATTATCCTGTACTTGAAGGTGTGTGGCCTAATCTTGAAATATGCAACTCCTTGTACTTCAGGATAAAAAAAAAAAAATTAGCCTACAGCCTCAGTACAGCAAAGCTTGTGCTCAGCCTAACATTGTCAGGAGGACAGCCTGCAGTGCACAAAGCTGAATGTGTGCCTGAGTGAGGGCTATTGGCTTTTAAAGCAGAGGTTAAGCAATTGGGATGTTGGTTGGTGTTTCAACTCCGGATTTGCTGTGTTGCCTTGCACTAGTAACTATGGCTCCAGTATTCATAAGTAACCTTAACCTTGGGTACCCAAATTCTTCGGTTTTTCAGAAGTGATAAGCACCTGCTGGTTGGAATTGTGGGTGCTCCGTGTTTCTAAAAGTCAGCCCGCAAATTTGATTCCGCTTCTGAAAAACTAGATGTCAACATCTTTTTAAGGCTCAGTTTCTCCATATGTAAAATGGAGAACATGCACCTATCGTTGTAAAGCTGTTTAGGATTCTCTGTTGTCCTTCCCATACACTTTGGATTAGTGGGCTGTGAACAACATTCAAACTTTCTTTTGGACCACACTGTGTCCTTATCAAAATTACAACTGAAAGGGGGAAGGCCCTTACCTTAACCTCGCAGGCTAATTTGGCAACCGTTTGGCTCTAATGGAGGATACTAATAAAAGCAGATTGTTCTCCTTAGTACAGTGAATGTATGACTCATATTGGGGGGAATATTGCAACAATCTGTCACTTGTAGATTTGCTTATCATATTATTTGGGTGTTCATAAGGAAGTTGTGGTTTAACTTCACAGATACTTGCCTTTTTAGTATATCAAACGCTTGATTAAATCTCATGCTTCAAGGTGGAAAATGGTGGTTTTATGAGTCGGAAAAGAATTTCCCTTGAGGGATAGCACTGCATAATTGACAAGGTGCATTTTCCATGTTTTTGTAGTGCATCAGGTATTGGGTACCAGTTACATGTAGGGCAGTTGGAGCCATAATAGCATTCTATTTCTCCAGGGTGCTTTGCAAATGTTAATTAATCACAATGCCCCTTTGACTTATTATTATTTACTAGTGGAGAGACTGAGGCTAGGACATTTGACTGATCTGAGGCTTGCCCTCGGGCAGGTGGCAAAGCCAAGGTTAGATTTGAGAGTTCCTTGCTCTCAGTTCCTTTCTGAGGTTGCTGGGCTTTACCAGGTGGACTTGGTGTTGTGAGCTAGTGTGGCATGTGGTCTTTCATGTGTTTAAAGGGAAATGTACCCTGATCCTTCTTCAAAATACATATTCATAACATCTGTAACATGGGTAAAATACTGTCTTCTCAGATGCTTCTCTGAAGCCCAGCATTGACTGCTGGATTGTTTTGGTTCACAGGC